CTGTTTTATGTTGCGTTTTATTTATTAACATTCAGAGCTTAGATATTGGCGCATTTTCTGCTGAGCAATATTGTACTTCGGTATTATATACATGTACTTTTATATCGTTTTATATATGTTAAAAACAGATTCGAGTCTTCATCGAAGATATCGTTAAAGTTATCGCGTTTAGGTAGCTCGCAATTTTCAAAAAATCGAGATACTAATTATTCTATTATTGTATTTTAAATTATATCTCTCGTTTTTGTGGTTATTTACTCTTACAAATCTCGTTACAAATGTAAATATATATATATACATACATATGTATGTATAAATATACATATAATACATGCATATGTTACGTTTATGTATGTGTATGTATATAATATAGATACATATATATTCGCCACGTTGCTAGTGGCTAATGTTATGTAGAATAAAATCATTGTTCTCACGACGATGATAACTACAAGCATTCTTGTACCTGTTTCGCGCTGAGTAATAATTGCACGTGCAATTATGGCATTCTTACTCCGCATCTTGCAATTTGTCAAATGGTAAACCACAAGCGCAAGTTTCTATATATTCTATTGACAATAAGTAATCGCTAAATTTTTAGTATTCTTCTATGCCTTTGACCAAGTGGATGGTGACGATAAGTGAAAAAACAAACAGAATAATCAGTCACATTTATTCATGGATTTCGCGTCGATATCTTGATCTTTGACATTCTAGCAAACATTTTGAGATAATATCTTGAATCGTTAAATATACTTGGCAAATAAAACCCGATAAAGCAAACTTTGTGAGCTGAGAATTTGTCGTGAGAGATCAGATGTTGCGCGTGCAATTAGAGCGTGTTTCATTTTACTTGTACGATTTCCCGTTTCTAGAATTATCGTAATAATTTTATGAAATTGCAGTTGCACGCGCACTTATTTCCCAGTGAAATGCGATTATTAATCCTAAACTTTGCCATGCTCCAAAGTCGTGGTCCAAAGCGATCACGTATGTTGTAACTCAGACCGAAATTGTACAAAGCGTTAATCGTACAAAGTCAAAGGATGATCCTTCTGTCCTGTTATTCCCCAAAACAAATACGTTTGAATACTAGAAGACGTTTATATTGGCTTGCAAAGTTTTTGTAACAATTTCTCTATTCAAGTGTATTTTAATACGATTATACCACAGGAAGGAAAGGGTCGAGATTTAGATTTTGTCTACTCTCGCGTATGTAATGAATCTCTCATCAACTCTGTAACAAATTTAATCACTCGACGGAAAAGCAATGAAAAGCAAATTTTTCTCTGCTGAAGTAGGAAAATTCGAAGAAATGATTTTGAAAATTTCGAAGTGCTTTTGAAGAAATGCTGCCGAGCTCACTTCGTTCATCTTCGTCTGTAGCACACGAAATATCTGGAGGAAATGAACTCGTCGGTTTTTTACATAACATTTAACTTTTGTAATGTATAATTTCGTACGAACGAAACACATGTCATTAAAGAGGTAACGATTACAATGCGATACAAATTGGTTTCGCTTGACAGAGTGATTCGAGATCTTTTCTTATGATGATCGAGCTGCTTATTCGTGGGTATATCTGTTTTTTAAAAAAAAAATCGAGATATCTATATGGAACACTTTTTTAGACCGGTGATTGTTTGCGAGTCTCTTGCTGTTAAAATGTAAACGGAAGAAATCCTTTTCGAGAAGAACTCTGGGAACAATGCAAACAATTCGTCTCCTAGATTGCTCGATGTACACACGTGTGTGTGTGAGTGTGATTATCGAGAGTGAATGTCTATGGTAGTCTAATATGTAAATAACTATTGCCGAACGGCATGTTCTACGAACGTCCTGAGAATAGAAGTAGTATATGAAAGAGAATTCTATATATGTATATGAGAGACACAGATTGAGTTTGAGAGATTTTACTGAATTGACGTACGAGAGAATAAAGATGATTTAATTATAATCGCGGCCTCTGATATTTTTTTTCCTATCAACGTCATCTGTTCGTTATTATCTTTAGATCCTTATATCCCACCATATATTTAGTTTAAATTAAACTAAATATGATCTTCTGAAATCAACGAGATGATGTTATGTGGCTTCGTTAAATCGGATATATCAAACATGTGATTAAACAATCATATACCAACGTTAAATACAAATTTCTAATATACATTTCGAGCATTTGAAATGCTTTTTCTTGTTTACTTCAATTTGTATAATGTTATAAATTTTGATATCTTATTTCATACAAAGATGTTTTATACATATAACAATAATTGAATGATTTACAACCCAATGACATATTTGAGAAATTAATTCGCGCGAGAAAAAAGTATAGACATATGTATATTACATAAGTTGATTGGAAAGATGATAAAACGAATGATATCTGTCGAGGAATCGTAGCACCAACTTCAAATGAAAGCTTTAGGTTTTACGTATGTTTATTTTAAAGCTTCCGTAATACAATTTATTAATCATCATTTACACAACCTTATGTTTATCCTCGCGGCGCGAGTTCGAAGATAAACTGCACTTTCGTACCGAAAGTCCGACAAACGCCGCTCCTTACATCATTTTTTTTTACTTCTTTTTTTCATTTCACAACCTTTTCCTTCATTACAAAGCAACATGTCCTCGATCACGTTACACGTGTGTTTTTCGATTTCTTTCGCGATACAATGCCGGCATTGGAAGATTATCGCTCTTACCTATCGACGACGCGATGTAATAATAATATATAAAATAGAATATTTCGGAAATAACATTCAGATCTGTACAACCGAAAAATTATACATTCACCGGTCTCGTATTTATATTCGTACTTTTTTTATATACGTGTATACACACACATATATATATATATATATATATATATATACACACACACACACACACACACACACAGTATACATACAGGGTGTCCCACAACTCGCGTACCGAAATTTTTATGACATATTCCTAAACTTAAAAATAAGACGAAAATTCTAATACGAAAATACCGAGGCTATAATAGTTTTTAAATTAATAGCGATTAAAGTCGACTAATCATAGAGCTAATATTTCGCGCGCTCAGACATGATGATATAACAAGTGATACAGGCACTATCACGAGGGCCCTCTTAACGTCAATCGAGATTATTATATACTTAAATATATTGATATGATATACTATTATATTTTTATTGAGAAATTATTTTTGCTTTTTTACGTAACCTATTTGTATATTATATACGTATAATTAATATCGGAACATATCACAAAATATCAATATCAATTCAATATATTAGTATTAGAATTTTCATTTTATTTTTAAGTCAGGAATATGTCATAAAAATTTCGGTCGCAAGTTGTGGGACATCCTGTATATAATTTATATATCTCTCTATGCAAGTAAACCTACGTAAATGTACATATATTATCGATTCTGTATACTTAATCGAATTTACATTACACGATACCACGCGAATGAGTATTTAGGACTGCGCGATTGGTCGTGTGTGCAAATGTAAAAAATGAAAATTATAATTTATCCTTTATTACTTTGTGACTTTGCGCGGGTAATGTCCCATTAATTTCATAATCTTTCATCTTTTAACAATCTTTCCGATCCTTAGATCTTAGGAATGTACACAAATTTACGAAGTCCTCGAAATTTATACAAGTTTTAAAGGAACTTTAAATCTCGACGTTTACTTAATTTTGAAAAATCTATGAACAATATTGGAAATCAAAGAATTAACGCACATTGTTAGATCATAGGCCGGTATTCATATTCGTTCGGTTTTTATATCTAAGATCGTTTTAAGATTACATTGCAATCAATAAGATGCCGCGACAAGTTATGGAACTTGATGGGTAGTACGGTAACGCAAATTTACACATTAGCTTTAGTGCCATCGAGAGGAAGAATTTATGCATGAATTTATGGGGTTTGGGTGGTGCTGGCCGATTAGGCAATCGTGCTTCGCAAAGTGCTACAACGCCACAAATTGTATTGGGACCATGGTCTTCGCCGAGTGGATCATCTATGACGTTCGACTTGCACCACAGTCCTCTCATCGATTGCGTTGTCAAGCATATTTTTAGTGGAGGCGATCACTGTTTTGCTACGATCACTCAGAGAAAAGATAATGTGGAACCAGATGACTGTAGAATATTAGGACCGATTTCTCAAATCGGCCACCAGGCTCACCGGTTAATCGTGAATTAATGACGTATCTAAAAACTGTGTTCAAAAGTCAAGCGTACATAAATGCATCTTTTTTAATTGTTAACATTGCCGTTTAGGTTTTTTTCTTTTTTTTTTACTTAAGATGTTCTTAAATATAAGAATGGACTATGAATATCGACCTTAGATCGTTGAATATCAAACGGCTTCGTTTGACAGAGACATCGATGAATAAAACTCATTGGTTTCACGAATGTTTGATATTATGAATGTAATTTTACTTAACTTTTTACTTTCATTTACTAATATACAGCTGGCTATATAGATCTTGGAATCCATAAATCTTGCCTTTGTCAACACCATAGATTTATGAATTCACGAATATTTTTTTAGATATCTTCTTTATAATATAAACTTTCAGCTCAAAATATCGTATTCTTGATACATAAATAATTTAATAAAATCATCGATTTCAATCATTTACATATAAATTATTTACATATAAATCTCCATGAATTTTTAATCTTAAAAATTCTTTTCAAGTTTTGCAAATGCGTATCGCAAATGCGTATTTAGTGGACTTTGGAATTATAGATCTACGTATAGATACATATCGTAGAAAGTGGAGAAGAGAGAAAAGAAAGGAACTTTGATGAACAAGTAATGATTCAGCTGCACCTGAAGAATATTGTGACATAAAAAAGTTGAGTTACGTTGCGCGCAATGACGAGACTTATATGACAAGAAAAGACTCTGAGATTCAACAAATTGGTCGCGTCGAATTGGTATCGTCGATGTGTTCGCTTAATAATTAATCAACAAATATTATTTCCTGGTCGAGGAGCACTCGTGCATTCTTCCGGCCATTTGATGGCATATACAGGATAATTTGTACCCTGTTTACGCATGCTTTTATGTGATATATAACAAAAAAAAAACGCCTTCATATAAAAGAGGCCTTTAGATATTCATTCCATTCTAATCCCAACACTATTACTTTAATTCAAAAACGAACAAAGAACGCGAATGAGATAATGAACAGACAGCTCATTGTTTTTTTATAAAATTGAGAATTTTAGTGCGAAACTGCAGATGTATTTGTTACACAGTTATAATACGTATAATAATGATATTATATACAAAATAATTTTAATTTCATGATGTGATCATGTGAAGGATTTTTTCAGATCGCAAACTTTCGATTCCATAGATTCTTGTTGTCGTTTATTCGATTTATTTATTATTTAATTTACTAATTATTTACTTAATTTTCTAGATGTGTGTGTGTGTGTGTGTGTGTGTAAAATATATACACACATACGTACAAATTTCATCTTTCACATAAATTTGTTGAAAATTTTATTCTTGCGAATTTTTGCTTCTGCATCTTTTTGTGTTTGTAGAAATTATGATTCATTGATTCGTGTATTTTTATTTTGCATATTCTATTTATACAATTCTTGAACTCCAAATAAAATGAGGTTGTCCCTTCATTATCTCATTCATAGTCTTCTGACAGTGATTATTAAGCACGTTAATGCCAAAATTATTACACTCACATTATTTCTACGTTTTGATTAATACGTAGTCGTTATCTCTGTTTAAAAAATTCGCTTATCGAGTATAAGTGTCAATCAGTACGCAAACGATGCCAGTTATAAAAGTTCGCAACACCCATTCGCAACTTTCATGCGTATATACATTTCTTTCCCAAATAAAATCTATCTTGTTTTTTATCCACTTACGATAAATAATATATTATTATATTAGAACGCTCAACACGTATCCATCCTAATCAATTTGGCATAGGAACCTTGTTAACGCGCATCGTTGAGCTCCATCTCATAATCAACAATTCTAATACTGTTCATTCAATTGATACAAATCGCGCAAAATCGATTTCATCCATTTCCGAGAATAGTCACGAATGTTCCATGACGCGAAGCCACGTCTCGTAAAATATTTCTACAAAAATGTATAAAGTACGAATTAATACGTAATTACAGATTGCTATATATACAAACGTACAGTCTCGTCATGGAATGGTATACAACATAATATATTATATTTAGATTAAATAATGTTACGATCGATTTTCGTGTTAACACTATTTGATGTACAATATTAAATCTCTATTAAAAAAAAACAATAATTGCACGATTTACAGATCTATAATATAAGATCCTTGGATCCGTAGGTATTGCACATATTTTTACATTTTTTTACAATTTGAATTTTTTTAATATGCGTTCTTCTGCATCATGATGATCTAATGGCACTAGAATTTCAGAATATTAGCTGCGCGAATTTTTAAATGGTTAGATTTTATTCATGATTCCGGAAATCTTCGATTCCCTCGGATCCATGAATCCAATATTCATAATAAAATTCGGCGGAATATTATAATATTTATTTTACATGTCTGCCTTCTGTAGATATTTGATCCTTATTGTTCTTATTGCCAATCAATATGTGAGATCAATAAAAAAAGAACAATTTTCTAATGAGAAAAGATAAAATTATAAGCAGGTATGCAGGATGCTCCGCTAGTAAAATACGTATTTTGTTAAAATTTACGTTATATCCTGAGTTTATCTCGTCTATCATTTTCATTGTGTTAAACCTTAAACAAATCTTCCTGTTAAATTTATATGTTAATTCCAGGTCCATTGATATCCAAACTTTATTACAGCTCGCAGCTAGCAGATTGGCTTAAACATCGGAGACTCTCATAGGAGTCGAAGAAGAGTTCGAGAATATTGGTGTCTGAAGTGTGGAACTCGAAGGCCGTCGAGATCGAGGTTCCACTATAACGTGGGTTCAGTTCGTCGCGTGACTGTTTCTACGTCTTAAAAACACTCTGCTGTTAACTGGATAGACCCTGGTCAAGAGTATGAGCGAACTACCTAAGGCCAGTTTGACGGGTGCTTGGCGACCACCGGGTAACCTGATGAACACTGTCGCTACCGCTGCGACTCCATCATCAGTAGGTTCGACAGCCACCGGCCTCACATCACTGTGAAAGCTGATGTGCTTGCCTCTCCTGCCCTTACGCTGCGGCGAGTTCGGGCTGCACTCGCCGCCATCTCGATCATAGAGTATCGTCGCGGAGGCGAATGGTCGCTTCGCCATATGCAACATTTCTACAACGTGACGACGCCGGGCGCGTCGTAAATCCGCCGTCTGTTTCGCTTTCCACGCGACCACGCACCCCGCCAAAAATAGGAAGAAACAGGAGAAGAAACACGAGAAGAAGACGAATAGATCGATATGTAACTGGTCTTGACGGAAGAAGATCATTCCGTAGGCGGCGCGGCCATTCAGTTCCGGATTTACTGGATCAATCGCTCGTAGCGCGATGTGAAACTTGGTCTGGCCCAGTTCGTGCTTATCTTGTGGCAACGTCAGCACCAATCGATTTGTTAAATTGCGGATCACCAAAAATGTGTTTCGTCTTTCGATTGTTAGAAAGGTGGCCAAGTTCACTGCATAGCGCTCCATCACATAATACTGCGGTGGAGTATTCCATCGGGTTGATTCCGTGGTGGTATCATTAAACATTCCAGCACTATCATGAGGACGAAATTCAACAACCCGGAATTTGTTGTTGGGTTGATCAGACCGTATCGATCTGAATCTGCTATCTATCTCGACCTACGAATAAAATATAAATAAAAATATAAATAAAATATAAATATTGCAGAACCTTTTTTAATAAATAGTTCAATATAAACAAAAGAATTTATTAATATATAAAAATTAAAAATTTTTATGAATAAATATTATAAATATCTATAAAAATCTTTCTTTTATTACGTATGATATAAATTTATTTTATATATAATAAGAGAGATATAGCAAACTTATGTTGATTTTAATGTTAATATAGCATTTAACACCAGCACAATCCAAGTTTATAGACCATTTAAAAATTTAAAGATTCGAAATATAGATGATCTTTAGAATGTATAGTGAAAAAGATAAAAACAATAGAAACAAACATCTAAAAATAAAAAAAATTGATTACCGTGACAAAATTAACTGATATTTTTATTTGCATAGATGAAATATAGTTTATATCATAGCAATAAATGATACAGTTAAATAAAATAACAAAAACATACCTCTTGATATCCAGTGGACGAGTTCAAAGTGACAACGAAGGAATCATCCCGTGGACTCAAAAATAAATCCAAGGCACCTTGAGTGACATCCACCATCACTCTAATGTCCACATTCATGAATCGTGGTTGCACCATGTAGAAGACAGTCTGGCCAGGATTTAAAGGTTTCGGCTTCATCTTGCACTCATCTGAAATAAAAATGAGAAACCGTGTAAGACGTTTTCATTTTACATGCACGAAACTGTCAACACATTAAATAGCTTATAGTAAAAGAGAAAGGATACGAACCGTAAGATACTCCACACAAAATAGAACGTTGCAATTTAAGAAGAATAATTACTTGACAAAAGTGTTGAATACAAATATACATATTGAAATAAAACGAAAATTGGTGGTGCCAATATTATTTTCACCAATGAAAGAAAAATAGAAAAAAAATTATTTGAAAACAAAAATGCCTTTTAGATTGAGCTATTAGATTAAAAAATAAAAAATAAACTGTATAGATAATTATTAGATCCTTGCACACCTAGGACCTAGTATTTTTGCTTTAGATTAACTTTATCAATTATCATATTGTATACAAAGATTTGGTCTCTGCATATAATTATATGCTCACCTATTAACTTCGAGTCGAAGCACATTTTATTGTCAACCGTGACGGTTTTGTAACACTGATGACCCATTGTTGGGGTGCCGGCGTAGTTCTCCCTGCACTTGCTGCATTGCACCTTCCAGCATGGCATGCCGCCCGAGTGTGGGCCCTTCATGGGACCGCTGATGCAGGTCGGTTCGCTCTCGGTGTTGTTGCCGCAATTGCACTTCTCGCCGGTCACGGGATCGCACGTGAAGCCATGACCGTGACACTCACAAGGTCTGCACACATCCCGGAGATCTTCTGTTCCCCGAAAGTATCCGGTCATGCATTCACCGCATTTGTCCCCTCTCGTATTATTCCCGCAATTGATGCACTTCGCTTTCGCCACCGGTCCCTCTCCCAGTTGCTTACTCAGTTTCTCTATCGACATCTTATCCACGGAGTTCGGATTGGGTACGGTCACGTTGTCGTTGATGCAAATCCGAGTGTGTCCGTTGCAGTATTCGAGACACGGCACACACTGGCCGTTGTCCGCGGGATTGCCAACGTACAGAGGCAAGCATTTCTCGCATTGCTTCCCCATCGTGTTGTTATGGCATTTCGTACAGTTATCGAGCTTGTCCGGACCGGCGCAGTCGCTGTGACCGTTGCACTGACATTGGATGGAGCAATTCGAGCCGACGTAGCCGAAATCGCAACGGCATAAATCAGGCTTCACGCAAGTGCCTCTCACACAACCTTGCGTGCACATAGGCACGCAGATCTTCTTACCGAAATCATTCCCCCAGGTGGTTTCGGTTTTGTATCCGTCCCCGCATTTGCATTCAAAACCCTCTTCCAGATCGAAACACTTTTCGCTCTTCGGCGAACACGTGTGGTGTCCATTCTCGCACTCGTTCTCCGGGGGACAGCGGACATAATGCCATGAGAACTCTGGTTTTGGTATCACGTTGAGCAATGACATTGTGACATTGTCCTGCGCTTCGAAGGAGTCTACGTGATACGGATGTAAGGTCGTGGTGATTGGCGCCTCGACCTCCGGAAAGTGTTGATGGTAAAGCATCTCGCAGGTACCACCTGCTGGATGATCGGCCGGCGCTTCGAGTGACCCCTCCGTGCATATTCCTTGACCGGTTATATTAACCGAGTCCAGGGAGCACCAGCCGCAATGCGAATGCTTCAGGCAGGTACTGCATTGTTTGAATACCGAGCACGGCTCCGGGCAGTGATCTATGTCTGTATTACGCAACACCAAACCGCAGACACCGCCGGCGCAATAAAGCGGCTGATACGATGGCGAGATGCACTCGTTCAATTGCGTGGACCACCTGCATTCGCTCCATCCACCTTCGGCTCCGGTACTCTTCAGACAGCTGCTGCAGTCCTTGTGTTCGGAACATCTCTCCTGACACTGGACCTGCGTGCTACGACTGGGCCGCTTTATGCTGGCCCGCTCGAAGACTTCTTCTGGCACGCAGTTCCAGGCGTAGAGCTGCTGTTCTGATAGCGTCATTCCTAATTCATTAACTCTTTGAACCTTCCTTGTCCACTTGCAGTCACCCAGACTGTTGCACTTCTCGCAGTCGCTCGCCGGACACAGCCGTTCCCCGCATTGGTTCACACTGGTCACCGACATGTTGCATTTGTCCTTTGCGTCCTTGTTAATGCAATCCTCGTCCAACGGGATGCATTTGCCATATGGACAGTTGGTGCACCACTTACAAACCGGTTTGTCGTTCTTGTAATACGGCCACTCCGCCAGGCATTCTGTGCAGGTCCTGAAATTTTGGCACTTCCTACTTGCCATCCAGTCAAAATTGCAAAATATTCCGTTCGATCGTTGCGCCTGGGTTACGTTGATATCGCATTTGTCATCACGATTGCTCGACACTTCGTTCGAAAAGCAGAAAGAGGTGTTGGTGCCGTTGAGAGTAGTAACGGCGCAAAACGAACAACCGAAATATTTTCTGCATGTGATCTTATCCTTCCATAAATTGCACAGATCTTCCGGTATGCTGATCAACGTGACGTGACTCTTAATACCACCGTCAAAGCCACCGACGACGTAAACAGCATTCGATTCCGGATCGGCATGAGTCATCGCGTGAGCGTACGCTGGCGGTGGCGGACTGCCGATCGTTTCCATGTCCTTCGTTATCAAACGTATCCATAGATTGCATGAGTATTTGTACGCTATCAGTGAGTCCGAGGTATTGTGAGGATTTTGCCGACCGCCAAATATTACCATATATTCGTCTGTCGTAACCGCGGAATGAAGAAACCTAGCCTGAGGTAAGCTGTTACCGTCAGTGAAGTCGTCTTCAAACGGTGGCAGAACGGACCACGTTCGCGTCTTATAATTCAAGGCGTATAATTTATTCGAGATAAATGTTCTGTTTATTGCATAGGTGTAGCCACCGAAAACATAGAAGCTGTCGGACTTGCCGTGATATACCGTGGAATGACCATAAACACCTACGGGACCGTTCCCAATGGTATTTACCGTGTCCCAAGTCTCAGTCTCCAAATTGAACTCCCAGACTGTGTCTAAATATCCATACTTGGGACTAAAGCCACCGATCAAAATTAAACTCTCTGATTCACCGTCTCTACGCAAGGTGAGCGTGTGACCAGCCAGAGGCAGTGGCTCCTTTTTCGATTCGTCCTGGACGATTTGACTCCATCGCTGATTCTGCAGACTAAACTTCCAGAAATCACTAAGAGTATTATTCGACAATCCCTGCACGTCTTCATCCTTCATTGATAAACCGCCGTAGACGTAGATCTGCTGTCTGCTATGTACGATTTCGGCAGCATGAAAGTAGCGGCCTTGTGGCATGGATGCCTCCGACGTAGATTCCACGGTCACTGGCATCCATGTATTGTTTTTCGTGTCGAAGAGTCTGATGTCATTCAGAGGTCCGTGACTGAGTGAATATCCACCAAACATCCACAGACTACCGCGTCGATCAGCCACCAGGCTGTGTCCGAAGCGCGGCAGCGTCTTCCTCAAATGGTCTAAATGATCAGCTAAATACTCCGAATTGAAGAGTTCTGTGAATATTAGCTGATAGTTTTTAAGCTGAATGGAACAATCACGACCGCCATATCCTGGCATGCAGACGCAACGGCCATAGCCTTTGTCGCAGACACCGTGTTTCTCAGACGCAGTGCAATTATCCGGACAAATCTCCACATCGCAGTTGATGCCAACGTAACCGGACTTACAAAGACAATTGCCGTTGCGACACTCGCGATTTCCAGGACAGTTGCTGCATGTCATTATCACGTAACTCGCATTAAAACCTTCTACTTCATCTAGTTGCTTATAATGCACAGTTAGAAATCCGGATTTGGCCTCTACCGTCACTGGATAATTGGTGCTCTCCGTGCAATATACACCTAGTAATTGACTCTGATGGCCACCGGTAGATGAAACAAATTCTGGTAGACCGTCGTACACGTATACGCTGTTCTCCTGGCAGCTTACATTGATGTCATCATGGATAGTGAACTGTATCACGCTCTGAATCACCGAGGTTGCATCTAAAGAGAGATCCGTCTCGGGACTGACAATCCAGAGGCACTCTCTCGTCGGCGAATCACCCATATGATTGTCCCAGAGCAAAGATTGCGAGTGCCGACTACCAAGACCCTGCTTACCATTTCCTTCACCACCCAGCATACCTCGTGACATGCAACCGTAATAACACATCCCGCCGTTGCGTGGATCACCATAGTAATCGCGTTTGCAACGCTGACACTTGTCGCCCTCGGTGTTGTCACGGCAGAAGCACATGCCGGTCTGTCGATCGCAAACGTCAAGCTCCACATCACCGTGGCCGTTGCAGTTGCATTCGCGACAACCCAATGGCGTTGTCGCGTTCCCGTAGCTTCCTGCCTTACATTCTTCACAGTAGCGTCCCGTTGTCCAGTTTTGACATTCATCACAAATGCCTGGTCCCTAGAAACCCAAAAATTAAAACGTTTATACATATGACAAAAATTAATATCATATGATAGCAATAATACAAATTAAAAACAAATTAAAAATTTTCGAATTCTATATGCAATTTTAATCTACCTGTAGACATGTGGAATGGTTATAGCAGCCGCAATTAGTTCGACAATCCGGTCCAGTCCAACCGAGATTACACTCGCACTTATATTCCGGTGCCTCACTGCAATATCCGTTGACGCATCTTTCATAGCAGGTTTTCGTACAATTTTCCTTGCCATCACCATTGAACCCGCGCTTGCATTGGCAGCTGAAGCTGCCGTGAGTATTAGTGCAAAGCGCATCGGGATGACAATCGTGCAAGCCGAGATCACACTCATCCACATCAGGGCATTGTGCGTATGCCCAACCGGATTCATCAGCCTTCAGACTGCCGTTTCGATATTCGTTGATTATCGCACTGCAGTTGACGTGAGCCTGATTAAAATCGCCCTGCACACACATACCGGTGATGGGATTCTCCAGGCTATAGCACCAACCGCAGCTGAGGGAATGTAGGCAACTGGAACAGTTGGAGTGTCGATTGCAACTTTTGCACTGATCGTTTCCAGTGAGCGACGAGCCACTGCGCGATGTGACGCCCATTAGGCCTGCTTGGTCCATCCATTCCCGACACAGACCAAACTGGTACTCTGATGTGTACACGGAGAACGAGAAGCATTCCCGCGTAGCCTCGCACCATACGCATCTTCCGCGTTCATCTAGGCACTGCGTGCAGTTGGAACGTTGTCGGCATGGAATCGGGCACTGATCCAGACTCACCACAGCATTGGGTAGTCGACCGATTCGCGCGCACCTTGCCTCTTCCGTCCACCACTCGCATAGGTTGGTGCCCACACATGACTCGCAAGAGATGTAATTGGAACAATTAGCGCATGTCGATGGCGTGATCGTCAAATAGTGCCATTCGCGTGTCGCCTCGCCGCGCTCCTCATTCAATTCCATATTTACTGCGCAACTCTCTGTCTCATTAGCGGAACGTGATAAACACTGATTAGTAATATCGCACCACCCGCACGAAGAGTCAGTCAAACAATGTAAGCAGTTATGGTACTGATGGCAAGAGCCATTTTGATAGGGCTCTAAGTACTCAAAAGTAAAAACCTTTGGATTCTCTGACTTTTTGTTATGTGTAATCTCCATTTTGCTCGCATAAGCGTAGCTTGCGGTCACCATTCTTTTCGACTCAAAGTCTAACAGATAGCGACCAGGCTGCAATTCCATCGGATGTCCATCTGGCCATTTTGTCGGTATACATTGCGATGTCTCTGCGGTTAGATTAGCGACTAGTTCCTGAAAAGTTAAAAATTATGATTTAATTATAATAGAATTAAAAAAATATTAAATTTGTTCGATCATTTATATATTTATATTTATATATTTATATTATTTATATTATATATATTAAACATTTTAATTCTCACATAAATTTCTTTAAAAAAAAATTTTTTAATTTAATATATTGTTTCAATATTTTTCTTGTAATTTTCAATAAATCATAATTACAGAATATGATAATTGCTAAACAATAAAGATAATTCACCAATTCATCAGGATCGTCGTCTCGCGATACGTGAAGCGTTGCGCTGTTGTAACTAACGCAGATCTTTAAATGTTCCATTGCACTTTCCCAATTAGAATGTGGCGGTCTAAGAAAACCGGTCAATCTGGCAATCATCTCGCCTCCCAATGCAGACTCCGTCTTCGCGCCTTGCATGGATGGTACATTGAAATCAACTGTGGTTGCGTTTACTATAGTAACAGAGTCGGGTTGTGTAAAATTCACTGGTGGTTTGTATTTAAGGAAAGTTAAGCCTGGTCTCTTGTCCATTTCTCGACATTCTTCGACCTTGGTGATCTCCGTACCCTTTGAACCCCACCATCCTGGTATTTGCGAAGGCGTGTCGTCCCGTAAACCACATACCCCATAATTGTCATCCTTGTGATGACAGCGAGCATTTTGAACACACCATGTGCACGTGCCCAGATTTAGTTTGTTCGAAACGGATTTCTTGCCACGGAAACTTGTGCCCCAACCGCCACCGGGTTGGCCGTGTATCAGACAAGAATGACAGTCGCCTAGGGCAGGACAGACTCCTGGACAACGTGTCGTCTGTAGATTCGTTGTGCAATTGCTGCCTACCGTCCGACCATAGCATATCTGCAATATGTGAGAACATACATTAGAAAATGATAGTTGTTTAATAAAAATATATAGACTTATATAGACTTATATAGAATATATAGAATATATAGAATAAAATTAATGAAATACCTCATCTGCAGAACACCAGCCGCATTCGGGATTTGCCGCGCACTCCATTAGGCTTTTATGTCTCGAACAAATTTGTTCCGGTTCGATATAGTCCTCGTCTCCTGGTGCTAACATAGGTGGCAAAGTGTATGCAAGAAGATCAGCATTTACATTGCCATGATATCCACCAACGAGCAACAAAGTATTTCCATTACGCACATCTGCTGCATGAGCGAATACACCTTGCTGTTTAGGATAACGAGAATCTAAAAAAAAAAAATAAAAACTAAATCTCATTACAATATGTTTATAAATCTCATTATAAAGTAATGCAAATGTTTTATGAAAAATAATGTAAATTTGCCTTACCTTTATCATTTAAGCCTAACACATCATGGCTTACCCAAGCATGGCAACCAAGATGATAAAGATACATCTGGTTATCATAACAGATTTCCTCTTTATTATGTCTGTGAGAATATCCACCGAACACTACCAGATAATTTCCTACCATAATAAAAAAATGAAGCGTTAAGTATGCATTTTAAATTTTAGTAAAACGCATTAGATATTACAAATCTATCGCTAAAGCTACATGCGTGCGCGCGCACACACACACACACACACACACACACATACACACACACATATACACACACACTAAGTTTATATATGTCTATTATATCTATACACACACACACACACACACACACACACACACACATTTTATAAATCTGAAAATTATTTCCATTTCAATATAACAGGTAGTTACCTATAATACTACATGTGTGAAAAGCGCGTTCTCTCGGCACATATGTGTCTCGCAAGTGTGCTCTCGGATAATGAATCTCGGACCAAACCTTTCTGTCAAGTTGAAAGACAAACATTCGGTCCGACAATTTACTGAAACGAGCAACGCTGGCTACTACACCGCCATATACCAAGAGAGAATTAGTAGCGCGATGATATACAGTTGAATGCGCTACCACACGTACATCAAGTTCTTTACCGCCTCGAGGCCGCACTTCTATCCACCTCTCACTAGTCGCCGTAGGATCCGCTGTAATTATGCGTTAGTATAATTATATGTTTCATATGCATAAATTATATTCTTTCGGCTTTTTTCTTTTATTTGAATAAATAGAAACTAAATAAACTTAAACCTACCCAAATGTAACTTGATTTTATAGAGACTGGACGAAAATTCTCCATCAACGGTGCTACCTCCAAACAAATAGATGTAATCTCCTGCCAAAGTTAGAGTGTGCCTTGTGAGTCTAGGTGGATAGAAGGGGGAGTTTTTAGCGCGCAAAGTCCACACACGTTTTTTCACATTATAATGCCATAGTTCGTTCGATAAAGAACCATCTTGCACTTTTCCTCCGTAAATCACGAAACCATCTGAAAATATGAAAATTTAATTTGTATCATTAATGATAATTAGAAGTTAACAATTTCATGATTATAAGTACAATATTTTGTTTAAATAGTAAAATGATAATAAATAATAATTATCAATAATTTTCTCAACTTTTTGCATTTATATTTAATGAATGCATTTAATGAATGCAATAATATATTGTTCTCTTTCATTAAAAACATTTTCATTTCCAAGTACATTATTATAATTCAGATTCAATGCTTACTCAAGCAGACAAAAAAAGGGGGACATTTCTTGAAATGAAAACTTATCTACTATTCGTTTTACTTTATAGCGCTACAAAATATAATAAATTTAAACGAATTTAAACGTATTTATATAAAAATTACAAATATTTTTATTTCTGTGATGGAAGGATTTTTTGTTGTTTTTGTTGACGGAGATTAGTAAACGTTTGACAAACCTTGGTATTTACATGCAGCATGACCATATCGAGGATTTGGTTTAGGTAATTCATCAATGATAGGTTCTGTAACTTCTTCTTTCAATGAATCACTCGTGGTTAATTTTGGATCCGTAAACTCTGAAAGGAAGATATTATCTTCGACGGGACCTGCTACAATTTGTTCTTCCCATTTCACATCGTCGTTTTGAATATCTATTGCATCATGTTCTCTGTATAAATTTTCCAAATTTCTGCGATATCTTTAAAAAATATATTAAGATATTAATTCCATTTATACAAATAAGCATTAAATAATTTGTGAAAAATATGTAAAAATATGTAAAATTTTATATAAAATTATTCTAAAAATCACTTTTATTAGATTCGATAATTTTATTTATAATAAAATCTCCAATTAAAAGGAGGTGATTTGTAACAAGATCTTTTTAGAGCTCTTATCAATTCTTATGTTTTTACATGAGCAAAACATAAAATCAATATGTTTATGTTGTTTTAGATTTCCAAGATAGATAGATTCCATCTTTTAAGATGTTAAATTAACGAATGCGATGTATCACTTACTACCTTGACATTTGCGAATATCGCGGTCTTATATTTCGAGGATGTTTTCTCCTAGAATCATCGTTTCTATCGATCCTAATAGTGCTTCTGCTTCTCTCGTTATCTTTAGACATGTTTCTGAATTCTCGCGAGCCATGACTACCGTCAGTAGCCCGATCGAGCAGGCCGAATGTACTGTTATTTTTGAGACTATAAACCACCTTCCAGAATAAAGATGACTTCGATAGGCCATATATTTCTTTGGCACCAGGATTGCGTTGTAATTCTGTTGCGATTAAAGTAGGATCCAGATATTCAGCAGATGCAGCACCTTCTGTAAATATGTAGAATAAAATTTATTTACTTCTAGCGCTGTAAATATGTAAAATATCGAAAAGTTAGAGCATTACTGTTTATTATTAAGCTATGAATTATATATATTTTATGTTTATTTTTATGTATGATAGAAAATTATATAAAAGAAAATTATATATATGCATTATTTTCTTTTATGACATTATATTTAAAATAGAACAATATATTTAATATTATATTACTTATTACAATAAATTAATTCATAACATTCATAATATGGAAAGATATAAATAAAATTTAATAAAAAAATAACAGATTGATACTTACTTGAATGGAATTTGTGTATTAATTTATATGCTCACCTAATATGCTTCCATATTCATCCTCCCATTGACTTGTGCTAAATCTGTATACTTCTAAGTCACTGAGTATATAATTGAGATCGTAGCCGCCAAAAACATAAAATGAGTCTGTTTCTTGAACATAAATTGCTGTATGAGCTGCACGTGGTCTCAGTCCACCTTCCGAATGCGAAAGCCAATGCCATCTATATGAATAATTATTATAAAAACTATTTAGTTATCATTAAAAATACTATATAATTATTAATATAATATATATAATAGAGAATTAATATAATCATATCATATTAATAATTAAATTTATATTAAAAAATTATAAAAATTAAAAGAAAAATAAGTTTAGCATCTTATTTCGTCATAGATATAATAGAGAGCAGACCGCAAAAGCAAGTACAAAGATGTAACAAAATAACGTACCGATTTCCTTCTGGATGCGTTTTATGCAATGAACAGGATTGCCCAGAGTATCCGTTGTTGCATTCACATCTTTTTATTCCACAAACACCAGCATGACTGCAATTGTTCGGACAGAGAGCTCGAGAACAATCTTTACCGCCCCAATCATTCTCGCAGAAACATGTATTGTTAATACACTTTCCATGATGAGTACAATTATTTGGACAATCTGTGACCGAAAATTCTGCATGGAAACCGTCTAAGACGTAATTTGTGTCACTATACAATAATATTAACATCTGTAAAAGAGTATATAATTTTATAATGTTTTATATTATATTACATAACGATATTTCATACAATGTTATGTTTAATTTTTGTCAATTTTTTAATGTAATGTTCGATAATAATTTATATTATTCTTTTTTTTTATATTATATTTTAATATGTAATATTTTCATTATACTTTTATATTCATATCCATAAAATAATAATACTTTTATATTCATATAATTAAATAAATAATTCATATAATTAAATTATATGAATTTGTATCATGAAAAGTTATATTATAATTAATTCATTTTGATTTCACATGGCCATTAACATAGATAACATGTTGTAAAATCTTAAATCTTCAGTTTAAGAAGCATTATCTATGTTTTACTACTGTGGGATACGTGTACTTACATAACCAGATGATGATGTCACTTGTTGTGGCTCAGTCTTGCCACTAAAACTGCCCAGAAGTGGTGATCGAAAAGAATCTCCATCATAAACAAAAACATAATCATAACTACATTCTGTGCCCATTGTCCGAAAACTTAATGTGATAAATTGGCGGCTATAGTTAGCTACAATGAAATAAGGAGAATATAAGAATAAATAAATATAAATTATACTTTATTATTTATAATTAATAAGTATCTATACCTTTAATGAGCCACTCGCAATGGGAATCTTGAGTATAATTCGAGCCCATAGGCCCATCACTGATAATTCCCCATGAGTCTGTGAAAACTTTTCTAGTCTTATCGCACGGTACTTGCTTTGGAGATGCCTGCGGAGCTAAATAGAAGCCCGGCAGCAGGCAGCTCCATATGACAACGTATACTGTGGATATCGCCCACCCCATCACAGCGTATTCACCTCAATGTTGTTTAACAGCACTGAAGTCATCGTTTGTAGGCAGCAGATAATATATTGAGCAATTATGTATTATAGTATATGCAGAGAGAGTCATATCTGAAAAGGATATACAGCTCATTATTTTATTCATATGTGTTATTCTTGTTATAAGAACTTGCTCAGTCACATGTTATATTGCATAAATACAAAAATAAATTTATAGAATACAATGAATTTATAGAATACAAATACACCATTAGAAATGCCATTTTATAACATTCAATATATTTGGAGTGTAAGATCTTAAGCTTCGAAAACAACATGCAATAACATTCAGATCCACTTTAAGTATGATACAAACATTAGAAATATAGCTAAAGTAGCAGCGTTTACTCTGACAATGTTAATATTATATCAGCGATAATTTACTTGTGTACAGAATGTACATACAATCGGAAACATATTTATTACCAAAGATACACTTTAAACTTTTACATAATGTGTAATAAGATAACATCTCGGGTATCAATCTCGGGTACCGATGCATTTTGCAAAATAATATACACATATGCAAGTGAGCCAAAAAGTTTTTAAAATTTGCACTATCGTTAATTCGCATTTTTATACCATGCTCCAATGCTTGTCGTCACGCAGGAAGGCAAGATCAAGCGCGCCAAGATTGATTGTTAACACTCGAAAAAACACTCGACGATCAACAATCTTTTAACAAACGCTACGGATAAACGTGAAGCGTTACGAGACATTCACATCGCAACGTTACACGTCGTGCAACGTGTTGAAGGACAATCCCCCGGAGCGAGCCAACATCGCGCGAGAACGCAAGACTCTCGGCTCCTGATCAATTTGCAAATAAGCGCAAATAAGCAAATGACATACACGCACGTTCCCCACACGCAAATCGCGCGCGCGAACACACACATACACATACACGTATGCCCATGAACTTTCCGCACCTATCACGGGACGACGACTACGATGACGATGACGACACGAGTGCGGCGCAAATTCGAGGAATCCTCGAGGTCCTGTGCTTTTCTTCTAATCGTAGGACTCGAGTAAAATCCTGAGGACAGTCACACCTTCCTTGATGGGACGGAGTCGAGCATCCTCCGGCGAGAGAGAAAGACAGTCAGAGAGGGACAAAGAGAGACGGGAGTGTATCAAAACATCGTGAGAGAGAGAGGAGGGGGGGGGGGAACACGAACTGCTCGGATTCACGACGTCAACGGGATCGCGTGAAGCACCGATGTCAGTGTTGATCTTAAATCTCCTCACGGACGAGGAACAAGGTACAAGGTACAGATGCGAGATGTGTCTGGCCCAGGCCAGGCGACCGTGACGTAAACGTTTTGCGAAACGCCAGTCGACACGGTGCCTCGCCTCGCTGACGCTTCGACTGTTCTGCTATGTGTGTTGCTTTTTATGGTGGCGGTCGGGGTGGGGGAAGCATCGGTGGCGGGAATTACGGACGGTACTCCGATAGTATCGATACTATCGTCGACGTCATCTTTGCGAATTTTTCTCTTGCTCCTACAACAATTTTATGTTGTAATTAATATTTGTAATGGAAAAGAAAAAAATATATAAAAAGAAATTTTTTATAAAATATCTGACGATTTTTTTTTATTGTAACAATTTATATTCATCCATAACTTCGCGCTGATTTTCAAAAGGCAAAAGTTTACTTGATATAATCTTTTACATATTAAAAAACATAAAAATAGATAAAAATTGTTCGAAAAATATTTACGTTGCGAGATAAAAATTATCGATGTTTTAACAAAACAATGTCAATTTTGATAATTTCAGATATCAAAGATACGCGATATTTTCTTTAGGTTTTTTTTTTTATTCGCAACAATAATAATTCTGAGAAATTTCCTCTTGTAAATAAGTTCTTACTTATTCAATATACTTAGAAATTTGTACGGAAAAAAGATGAAGATCGGATTAGTTAAGTAATAATGAATTAACACGCGACAGCGAGAGATGTTCTGATAATACAAATATTTTATTATCTCGGCAAGAATAAATTACTCCAGTTCTTCTCAATCGTTGTGTCGTACAACATAAACAATATGGGGAATAGACAATTGTTAGAAATCTTAACTATGCTCGGAGTTTATTTTAGTTTAAAACGGTTCGGAGACCGAAACACGAGTTCGCAAAACTTCTAAAGTTCGCTAACTGACGCATGGAGTTGCTCAGAACTTAAGCGGAAGGAAACAGATAATTCGTTTCTTATGTATATACATACTATATATGTTAATATACAATAGAGACTTGTGAATCACAAATTTGAAAAGAATTTGTTTTCGACATTCTTCTCGCATTCCGTCAGATATAGAATATTTATATTTATCGTAAGAAATTCAAAAGAGCGAAGCTGGGAAACATCAAGTTTTTATAAAAATATTCAAACTAGCATAGGACTCTCTCATTCTTAAAGCTAATTCCGCGATTTTGCCGTCTTAAATTTAAATTCTCTCTATGTATATAAAAGCGTGAATTTATACCATTATCTCGAAATGTACATACGTTGCATTCGAATTCCATAATTCCTTTAAGTTCTAAGCCTCTCCGGAAAGCTATCCCTTTGCCGTTTACGCTTATTAATGCTAATATTACACTGTTGTACTGTTACTACAGTACTCGCCATTGACACATTTTACTATAAAAAATAATTATCATCGTTAAGAAGTCTAAGCTATTCTCCCGATTTATTTAGCGTTCTCAGCCTTTCGATTTGTTTAGTTGTGTTCGCACTGTTCGTTTCGCAACTCGTCCGGCGAGAGACATCGATTTATAATCGCTGTTTGCGTTGGACGCAAAGAGTTTAGAGGGACGTTCGGTCTCCGCCATAAGACTGTGAAAAAAAAAAGAGAAAAAGAAAGAGAACGAGTAATATCACCCCCGCATAGTGCAGTGACGTGATCTTGTAGTAACGTACAGATCGTGTATTATTAGTTTAGTATCCTTTGAACAAATGTACTGTACATTGCCAGAGTCTCGACGATTGATACAATCGCTCTGTTAGTTGTTTACAGCTTCTTTTTTTCTGTTATCATAATGCGGTACGCGCGTTATCCTTCTCGTGAAAAATTTACAAAGACATTCGGCGTGCCTGCACGTCTGGTTTTCTTCAACCCTTCAGCCGGTAGATCAACCCTTTGCGCTGCGAAGCGTCAACTCGGTCTCGGTCTTGTCTCGATACTACTATTATAATAACATAATAGCATTACGTTATCATAGAGTAATCTTTAATATTATTATTAAATTATTATAACAGTACTGACTACGAGACAGTGCTAATATAGTATTATCTTGCTTATAATAATAGTAATAATTATTATTTCTAATGTATAGGTATCCCAAGGACCTCATCATTCGCGAGATTAGTTGACGCAAAGCTGCCGTTTATATTTGTCTTATCTAGGTCCCTTAATTAATTTATTTCCTCTCGCGTCACATAACAATCTAATGACTCATTAGACAATAATACAATTTTACTCATCATTATTTTCTCAATAAATTTACTCTAATAATCGAGTAAATTTCAATCGCGTTGACAGATAAATGTGTCTTGAATAAGTCTGTCCGATCAAATGTTCCATTGTAACAAGAGTTTTATGTATTCTGAGGACAAAACGTTGGCTTCCCATTGTCTATGATGAAAGGTATCACTTGTCTTCAATAAAAAAAAAATCGTGATATCAAAAGTCGAAGCGGACGGTGCGAAACGAGCTCGATTCGTTCGTGCCATTAAACTATGGATGGACGAAGCTATCGGTTGAAGGGTTAACGTATTATTTTTCTCTCGAAGGAACATATGGTGTATTCGGGAGATTGTTTGCTAGAAAATATATGACGCCTTCAACATCTTCGATCGCACTTAGTGCTCAAAAGAAAAAAAAAAATACGGTAAGAGACCGACTGTACACTCTGGACTTTTTCTTGTCAAAGAACATTACTGATTACAAGTCTCTTGAGCGAGCCAGTTGGCCTCTGACTCGGACGTCAATTTAGGCATCGACAGATTGCAAATTATTCATTATCGCAAAATTACTTAGAATAAGCAAAGCTGTGTATTTATTAGCATTGAAAATGTGGTAGAAAAAAAAAGATGTATACGTGCTCTTTCCACGATTTTTATTTTCTTCATTCGCACTAATGAAACAATCGTGTGATTTGTCACGTTTTGGATGACATAAATAAATGAACATGAAATACTTCCTAGATGATTACGAAAAATAGTTTCTTAAAACTTGAGATACTGTCGAAAAGGCAATTCAAGGTGCAACACGATTACTCGCTCTTGCATTCGGCGCGATTTTTCATTCGACAGCTCATAAAAAGTGTATCAACTAATGGCATTAATTTATTCTTCGAATATGAGCGACTCGCTTTTTTGCTCTTTTCCCTATTTTTATCCTTTTCTCGTTCGCATATTATAATTATATCCGAATCGATAGCGGAAGAGATACGGGAGGAGAGAATTGTTTCTTCCTGATTATAAATAAAGATATATACCTGAAGACATTTGTACTAAAAACATAACTCCCGCATCAGCTCGTCGCGAGCAGACTCACGAGAGTTAAAATCGTTTTCTACATTTTGCGCAGGATTCATTAGTACTGAGAAGCTCCTCATTAAAGATTTCTAGAATGCAATATAGCGCGTGGAAATAGTTGTATGCCGGTATCTAGTGGATTTAAATAATCCATTTAAAAAAATTTTTATTATAAGAAATATGTCAAGGAATCTAGCAATTAAATAAAAAACTAATATAAATAAAACTATTTTAGAATCTTATATTCCTATGTTTTCAGACATTCAGATCGTTGAATCATCAGATCAATAAACATTCGGATCTTTAGATTTCTAGATCTTGACATGCCTAAATCTTCAAATACTTAGATTTCAATATTTGGGTATAGAAACTAGAACATTTAAATCTTTGCACGTTTAGATTTTTTGGCTTAGACTTATATCAATTTTTAGATCTTTAACATTTATAGACTGAAAATTAGATTTTTTTATGAATAAAGCTTGAAAAGGTGCAAATATATGACTGGAATTATTTACTAATTTAATACATTTAGAACTTCCAAATCATTCCCATTAAAGGATCGATTCTCAATTTCTTCAAGAGTATCCGGTTACATACTTTTTCCCACATACGCTGCGCGAGAAAATGGAACAATTAAAGAAACAATATACACTGTGAGAAGAATAAATCGGATGATTTTCCTTCACACATCGCATATTATATCGATATTTTACAGCAATAACAATCAATGGTGTTCTATGATTTGATGATCAAGTAAAATTTATTAAAATCTCTTAAAAAAACCTCATAAATTTCACATTTATTTAGATATGTTTAATTCTGAATGCCTTTTTAGAGCACGTAACATAAGTTGGACAATTGAATGTATCATATAATCATATTTAACGTTAAATGTTAACATCGATAAGTCTTGATAAATCTCAGAACAACATTGATTCTTTCGATTTCGAATTACTTATACTAGTCTGTATAATGATCTATATAATGATCTATATATGTTTCGCGGATTTCAGAAGTACAGACGAATCCTTGGTAATATTCGGTCTATCAATTAATGCATCATAAATTATAAAAGTTTTATATATATATCCCTGTTGTCGCATAGTATAGGAGTCTTCTTAGTGATACCTTTCCATCAAAACCATGAAAAGAAGGGTTTTTTAAAGGAAAAGCATCAAAGGCAATCCTTTGCCGCTTCGTCTTCCCCATAAAACTCCGGTAGAGGAGTCGACTGTCCACACATCACTCCTGAGATGCCGTTTGTTTTTACTGAATGGCCAAAAGTATTTGCACAGGCACTGAAATCCTTAGTCATCTCATTGATCTCTATGCTCTCTTCTTCGCAGTTGGTTGGCAATTTTAAAGATGAAACGGAATACATATTGTCACTGCCAATGCTGTTCTTCAAGAGTGATGTGGTTGTCGACGGTCGATTCAGATAATAATCCTAAATCATTTGAATCATTATTTGAATACTTATATTTTATGCTTCGGTTTCCTGAGATAAAAATTTTATATTATACAAGTTATATTATACAATTTGACTTCAATTGTACATATTGTAATATACGATGAAAAAGAAACGTGACTTTCAAAAGAAATATGATTTCTCTATTATTTTTATTTAAACTTTTAAATTTGATAAATTGTAATACAAGATAAAAATATATCAAAAAATATATTTGCAAATATATCTGAAGTTTTAAATTATTT